TTCACCTGTTAATGTTTGTAAAAGTGAACTCTAAATCAATAGCATATGTATAGTTATAATATTCAAAAGCAAAAAATACAGACTTTGCCTGATCCAACTGCTCCAATAATACAGATTAAATCGCCTGGATGAGCATCAAAAATAATATTTTGTAATTTAAATACTCCATTCTGAATAATGAATAAATAAATTTAATTATTGTATAAATATAATAATTACTTTTTCCCAGTGTGCTTCTTTCAAATTACATTTAACTTGCACCTCTTGTGTAATATTATTAGTTATTTCTATCTTATTCGATGATGAAATTTCTAAATGAGATGATGATAATAATCGATTATCTCGTTCACATTCATCAAGTAATAAAAATTTCTAAATACGAAAAGATTTTCAATTGAATTAGTTTACATATATATTAATTATACAAACCTCAATTCGTTTTCTAGCAACTAAATAATTTGAAATATCACGAATAGCATATGAAAAGAATTCAATACAATATACTTTCATATAACCCAACAAACAAGAAGTTATAGCAAAAAAAACGTGTATCCAATCTTATATTTAATGACCACATTGTTCCATACATCATTAGAAAAATTAATGTAGTATAATTATGTGAAAATATAACTTGAATACAATTGCATATAGCATAGAACGTATATTGAATAATTTCTCGTCTAAATATAATTTGATTTCAAATAAAAAAAGCAAACAAGATTTTATGATTTAATTTACTTTCTTATAAGACAAATTTTTTGAATAAATGCTGTTTCCCAACAATACATTTTTACAATACGCATTGATTTAATTATTTCAGACATTATTTTTATACGTTCATCAGTTATTTGAAGAATTTTTGTGCTAGAAATCATCATCATCATTAGCAGCACAATAAAACTAATAACATACCGTATAGAAACAAACATAAGACTGTATAATGGTTGAATAAGTAGAAGAAAAGCAGAATATCCAATAGCAATAAAAGCAATATATTTAACAAAATAGTAGAATACACAAATGACAAGAATGAGATGTATAGGTCCAATCTGCAAGTGTTAATATAATATTATTGAAGAAAAGATCATGAATCTTACCCACATATCATTGAAGAAAATTGCTACGAGTTGAATTTGATTTGCATCGTTTGCTAATAAATTAGTAATCTCTCCCGAAGTAATACTATTCATTGAGTAAAGTGATAATCGAAGAACCTTTTAATAGAATTTTTCTAATTTCTTTTATCATTTCATATTTTACTTACTTTACGATAAATTAAACCTGTATAAG